CGATTTCTTTATTGTTAGTGGTTCATCTTTGTCTTGATAGAGTAGGTCTAGATCGGAGGGTTGAATAAGTTTATGTTTTAATAAAAATTTTTTAAATGGTGATTGCGGTTTTAGAATTAATGAGGGACCAAATAATGATATGAGTCTAACTAATTTATCCACTTCGGCATCAGTACTGAATCTAAGGAATAAATCTCTATCTTTCATTAATGACTTTAAACCGACTGCTGTACGAGGGATTTCAAAATCACTCTTTGTCCATAATACATATCCACCATCATCGATTCTTCTAACATCTCTATTTGTAACTATTGGCTCTGTAAAATGTGGATCTATAAATATGCTAGCTTTGATATCTTCTGCATTTAATTCTACACCTGGATAAATTGGTGGTTGATTTTGTAAAATCTTTATAAAATGAATGTTTTATGGTTAGTAACAATAGCTAAGTATATATTTATTGGAATGATGGGGTAGTACAGTTTTTTTTAATCTTTTGACACTATTGGACCTTAATACTAATGTGGTTAAATTTCCATCTGGTATTTCAATAGCTCTTATGGTTTTACCAAAATATAATGTTCTTAAAGCGAATGATATAATACTTGCACTTCCAAATAAAAATAAAATTTCATAAAACCTTCTCCTACCTAAAATATCGATGGTCTTTTTGATTGCAGTTGCATCATCGTTAGATTCATCATTGATAACTTCGTTGATTTGTTCAAATTTATCTTCGATTTCGTGTTGTTTTTTTTTAAATAAATCTATAAAATATGATTCTTTACTTTCTACATTATTAATATTGTTTTTATTGTTATTTATTGGTTCATTATTTGGTTCAATTTTTTTATTACCAATTATATTATATAAATAATTGGTCATTTGATTTAAATAGGTAGGGGAGCTACTGCTGTTGCTTTTGTTATTATTACCATTATCACTATTATTATTATTACTACTATTATTTATATTTTTATTCAAATCACTAGATGCACTATCTTTATGATTTTCATTTTTATTAAATAAATAGTTGTTTACTTTATTGTATAATCCAAATAAGGAATTTTTGTTTTCATTATTACTATTGTTATTATCACTATTATTATTATTATCCATTTTATTTAAAATGAAAAATAGTTAAATTGAAAATTATGAAATTAAAAAAAAATATAAAAAATAAAAATTTTTAAAAAATACACAAAGAAAAAAGAAAAATTTTTTTTTTGTTTTTATTTCATATTTCTATATTGCATAACTGCAATCAAAAAGACCATCGAAATTTTATATGAGGGTTTATTTTACAATTGAAGACTTTCATTGTTTCTTTTTAAACCATTTTAAATCATAATGATGATATATATTTTTCATGAAACCATCATTATGGAATTTTAAAAAAATTATAAAAAATTAATTAATTTTATTTTTTTTTATAAATTTTTTTTTCAAGATTTTTTTAAATTTATTAATTTTTTTTATTTTTCTATTATTATAAAATATAATAATTAATTAATAATAATTTATTTAATTTTTTTATTTATTTATTTATTTATTTAATTATTTTTTTTATATTATTATTTAATACAAATAATATAAACCACAACGAACAAAAAAAAAAATGATCAAACAAATAATAAATCCAAAAAATTATAATCAAGTTAGATTATTAAATAATTCAACAACAACAACAAAATTTAAAAATATTAGATTTTGTTCTACTACTAATACCAATAGTAATAATGATATTAATAATAATGGTTTTAATAGTGAGGATCAAAATAGTAATAATAACAATGACCAAAATAATAATAATGAAAAGAAATCGAAATTTTTTAAATATAGTGTTTTGGGCGGTCTTACCGGATTGGGTTTAGTTGCAACCAGTTCATTATTATTGGATGAAAAAGTAAATGATAATCATGTTATTTCACAATTAGAAATCCCAAGAGATCCAAAAAGTAAAAAAGAAAGAGTTATCATTCTTGGTACTGGTTGGTCTTCATTAGCATTTACCCAAGGTATCGATTTAGATAAATATGAAATTATCGTTATTTCACCAAGAAATGTAAGTACTTTTAAAAAATCAATAAATATAAATTATAAATACTAATTATTTTTTTTTTTTAGTACTTTTTATTTACTCCATTATTAACATCGGTATGTTAAAAATAATAAAAAAAGATATAGATTTATAGTAATAGTATTAATTATATTTGTTTTATTATAATAGTCTGCAGTTGGAAGTGTTGAAGTTAGAAGTATTATTGAGCCAATTAGAAGAGTATTGTTTAGATTAACCAAAGCACATACAACATATATCGAAGCTAAATGTACAGAAATTGATCATGAAAATAATCAAATAGTAATTAAATCAAATGACGGAATCGTTGCAAAATTACCATATGATCAATTGGTTATAGGTGTAGGAAGTGAACCAAGTAGTTTTGGAACCAAAGGTGTCGAAGAGAATACCATCTTTTTAAAGCATGCTATGGATGCACATAAAATAAGACAAAAGATTATGGATTGTTTCGAAAATGCATCCATTCAAAAAATGGTACCTGGTACCACCGAAGAGGACTTAAAGAACCTTTTACATTTTGTATTGGTAGGTGGTGGCCCAACAGCAGTCGAAGCAAGTGGCTCATTACATGACTATATCAAAGAAGATTTATCAAAAATGTTCCCACACATTGCACAATACTCTAAAATCACTTTAATACAATCAGCAGACCATTTATTAAATACTTATGATTTAAAAATCTCAGAGTACACCGAAGGCCAATTCCAAAGATCTGGCATTGAAGTATTAACCAATACTCGTGCAGTCGAGGTTAAAAAAGATCGTATTGTTATCATGAAGAAAGCCCATCAACGTCCACCAGGCGAGCCATTAAAGGAAACCGAGAACCCAAAGAAAGGACCAGAGGTTTCAGTTCCGGTAGAAATTCCATTTGGTATGTGTGTTTGGAGTACAGGTGTCGGTCCAAATGATTTAGTACGTTCATTCTGTAACAGTATCGAAACCCAAAAAAACAGTAGAGCCATCACTACTGACCATCAATTGCAAGTAATCGGTATCAAAAATAAGAATGTTTATGCAGTTGGTGATTGTTCAACCATTTCACAATCACTTTTAATGGCTAAAATCAATGATCTCTTTAAAGAAGCAGATACCAACGGTGATAACAAATTATCATTTGATGAAATCAAAGTATTATTCTCAAAGCACTCTAAAGACTACCCACAACTTAGACCATACAGCGATGGTTTCATTGAATTCTTTAACGAGTTTGATTTCAACAAGGATGGGTTTTTAAGTTTAAACGAGTTTAAGGGTTTAATGTGCAAAGTCGACTCTAATCTAACCACACTTCCATCCACTGCTCAGTGTGCAAATCAAATGGGCAAATATTTGGCTGATTCCTTTAATGAAAAGCATGGAAAAGGTAAAGATCATACTGTAGAGCCATTCCACTATAAACATTTAGGTAACTTTGCATATATTGGTAAAAGCAATGCTATTGCTGATATTCCCGATCTTATTAAAGGTGGTGGCATTGGTGTCTATATTATGTGGAAATTCGTATATCTTGAAAAACAATTCTCATTCCGTAATAAATTTTTAGTTTTTACTGATTGGATCAAAACTGGTTTATTTGGACGTGATATCAGTAGAATTTAAAAATATTAAAAAAAAAAAAAAGCATGTAGTTTTATCAAATCAAATCAAATCAAATCGAATAAAATAAAATAAAATCCAAATTCAACTTAAAATTTTTTTTTTTTTTGATCAGTTTTTTCTTTTTTGATAAGTTCAATTAAATGATATACTTTGGAGTCTAAACGACTCCATTTAATAGTAATCCATAAAATAAACACACTTGTGCTAAGATAATAATTTTTTGAATTTTTGATTTTTTTTTTTTTTTACAAAAAAAATAATTTTATTATAATAAAAAAAAATGGTTATAAAAGTTATATATATAAATAATAAAAATAAATAATTCAATTTTATAATTAAAACGGAATAGGAATTGGAATAGGGTTAATAAAATCCATATATAATTATTTTATTTATTTTTTATTATAAATCTAATAGTTAATTTGCTATTTCCTTTATTTCTTTATTTCTTTTTTTTATTTTTTTTATTTTTTTTTTTAAATAATTAAAAAAAAAATTTTTTAATTTTTTTTTTATTTTTTATTTTTTATTTTTAATTATTTTTTTTTTTTTTACCTTATCACTAAAAAATAAAATAAAGAGGAAAGAGAAAGAGATAGTAATTTAAATCTATATACAATTAATATATTTTTAATCACCAATAATATTGTGTGTGTTTCCATTTATTTTTATTTTTATTTTATTTTTTTATTTATTTTTTTTTCACTTTAATTTTTTATTTTTGTTTTTTTTATTTTTTATTTTTTTAATTTTTTTTATATTTTTTATATTTCTTTTAAAAACAAATTATGGATCATCCAAGTAGCGATAAACAAGAAAATGAAGAATCAAAATCTCCTATAGTAATAAATATTATACCTCCATCACCACAATTGGAATCACACAATAGGTCTAGTGGCGAGAATAATGATGAAGAAGAGGATTGTGGGACAGCATCAGAGGACGATAGTATTCCAATGCCATCATTATCATCGTCACAAATCATTAATACTGGTACAGTTGAAAAAGTAACCACACCAAGCAGTAGTGATGTTAATACAGACTCAAATAAATCAATAGAACCCACACCGATAACAAATCCAACCATTAACAGACCAAACAGTATCATAAATTCATCAAGTGGTAGTTTTAATTTACAAGAAAGCATTGGATTTAAGGATAGCTATCCATCTTCACCAAATAATTTAATACATAACAAAGTTGCATTTACCAATTTAGATAATAAATCAGCACTCAGTAGATCATCACCAAATTTACAAACCTTATCACAAAAAGCAAATTTAAAACAATCATCAGCAACCACAAATTCTACACCACAATCAGTATCACCACAATCATTATCACCACCAACTGCATCAGGTAATAACGCCACTAATCCCACCACTACCACTACTACCACAACAACTGCACCAACTCACACATCACCAAATAAATTAAAAAATTCAGATAATATCACATTGGGATCATTTGCAGAGTCACAGAATTTTGAAGATTTTCATAATACTGGCAATGGTCAATTGGTTGGAGGTATTAGTCCAAATAGAGTAGGAAAAATTTTTGATCATTTTTTAGTAGTAGGTTTACCATCAACAATAAAACTAACATCGACAGTTCATGACGAAAGACAAACTCATAGACCACAAATCATTTATCAATATCCACCAGATAAATCATTACCAAATGATATGATTGAACAATTTTGTTTTCCTACAGGTGTAGAATCAAGATCATCGCAGAGGTCTTATTCTTCTTCATCACTTAATCAAGTTTCATTTTCTAGCCTTTCGAACCTATTAAACCCAACTCATTCAAATGTATTTTTAATTACATCACTTCACACACTTTATTATGGTATATGTATTATAAAAGATGAAGAGGTTTCTGTAAGTTTTAAAGTTTTAGAATAGATAATAATTATTGTTTTATTATTTTTCATAGATTAATTTTTATTTTTATTTTAGTCATTACCAAGTTTTATAGATGATAGATCACCATTGAATCAATGTAAATATAGTAAGGAGGATGGAGAGGGTAAAGAAAAAAGAAGATCATTAAATAGAAATCAATATGATGTAAATATACACATTTTTATATTTTAATAGTTTTAAAGTTTTATTAATATATTCTCATTTTTTTTACCCATTTAGTTTATTGCACCAAGAGTTTATTGCTTTTTAAGTAGATTCCCATTTTTTCAATTACATTTTCAAATGTTACATTCAATTTTAGAAGGTGAACGTATGTTAATGTTATTTTCACTAAGTCAATCAACTGATCCACAAAATAATGGTTCATCAACATTGGATTTATTAGATTTATATTATAATATTGGTATGGAGTCAGTTAAAGATAAAGTTCAATTCAAAGCACCATGTCATAATTATAAAACTGATTATCATTGTCCAGTAAGTAAATTATAATCAAATTATTTATTTTAAAAATCAATTCTAATATTAAAATATTTTTTAAATAATTTTAGTTGGGATCAGAAGATAGATTAATTGCAGATTGGTCATTTTATCCAACATTTGAGGCATTAAATATTGAAGATATATTAAATATTTATTGTTGGTTGTTATTAGAAAGACAGGTTTTAGTAATTTCAAAACATTTAGGCAATGTTACATCATTAATGTAAATATTAAAAATTTTAAATTTATTTTAGATTTTTAAAAAAATATTAATTTTATTTTTTTACCTACAGATTTTCATTTATACCATTATTAAAACCATTTGTTTGGCAATGTTGTTTTATACCAGTTTTACCCGAATCATTGATTGAATCAATCGATGCACCATTTCCATTTATTATTGGACATAACAAAATGCCAGATCAAGATACTATAGCGAAGAGGGAATATTTAATTGTAGATATTGACACAAAGAAATTATTATATCCACCAAATATAGTTCAACCAAAATTACCAGGTAAAAAGAAATTAGAAACTACTTTGACAGCTCATAAAAAAGAAATGAATGATTTAAGAGATCAAATTCCAATTGATCATTTAAAACATAGATTCACCCAAAATATAATAAACACATTTAGAGAGTATCAGACTTGGTTAGTTGATCAAATTAGTTCAGGTGTGTTAACATGTATAAATAATTTGTATATTCAAAAACAAAATGAAAATAATCAAAATAAATTAGATATAAATAATAATAATAATAATAACAATGATAACCAACAACAGCAGGATATAAATAATAATGAAGATAATAAAATAAATAATAGTGAAGATAATAAAATAAATAATGATTCAAATAATGAAAATATAAATAATGATAGTATAAATAATAATGAACAAAAACAAAATAATATAAATGAAAATAATGATCAAGAAAATGAAAAAGTTGAAGAAAATCAAACAAGTAGTTTAAGTTCAAGTCAACAAAAGTATCATCAACAGCAACAACAACAGACACCTATTTTAAATAACGAAAATTATACAATTGATGCTTTAACCTCAATAGAATTATTAAATAAACAAAGTATTCACTTTTTAGAGAATCAAAAGAATATCAAAGATATAGTAGAGTGTTTACCAAAGAAATATCAAGACTTTTTTAAAGAATTTTTCCAAACTCAAATATTTACAGTTAATGCAGTAAAATTAATGTTATCAATACAAGAGCGTCATAAAACATCGATTAGTTTAATAGAGAAATTAGAATCATTAATTTTAATGGAAGAGAAATCCAAAGAAGTGTTGATGGAATACCAAAAAATGGCTAAAAAGGATGCCAAAGTAGACATGAATACAATCAAGAAGCAACTAAAAGATTCTGAAGGTGTAATTAACGAGCTTAAAGAATCTAAAAAGAAATTAGAAATGGAAGCTTTAGCCACAAGTCCAAGTAAAGCAAATCTCAGTGGTATATCTTCATTATTTTCAGGTTTATCTTCAATCTCTGAATTACGTAAAAAGAAATTAGAATTTGGTCATCGTAGAAGTAGATCGGTAACCGATCAAGTTGAAAAAAATATTTTAAAAAAATCAACAAAGGCACCCTTGTTTTCATTTTTTGATATGTCTGGTTCTAAAGGCTCAGCTAATTCAGGTGGTCCAAGTTTAAATAGTAGTTCTTCAAATTTAGCCACTCACATTACCAACCAACCACAAAAAACCTCACCACCAATCTCAATTAATAGAACAAACAGTAATTTATCCGATAGTAATAATGTTGGTAATGAATCACAATCACCCAAAAGTTTTGGTAGTAGTTTAGGTACAGGTAGTTCGATGCCATCATCTCCATTAAATGGAACACCAATTTCTTCACCAATTTTATCTCCACAATCAATGAACAACAGTCCAAGAAGCTAATACAAATATTAATAATATTAAGTTTTTTAAAAAATAATATATACAATACAAAAAAACAAATAAATATTTATACACTGTTTTTTTTTTTTTTTTTTTTTTTAAAAAAATTTAAAAAATAATTATTTTATTTAAATTTATTGATTTCTCAGTACTAAATATATATTTATTCTTCTTTACCAATAATACCAAAGTTAATATTAAATTGTTTTTGATAGTCATTTGAGGTTTTTGAAAAGAAATTTTCTATAAACATCTCTTGATAAGACGAATCGGTTACGTTTGATCTCCAAATGTGTAACGAATTCTCTTTAAATTTGCCACCTTGTTCATTTTCTTGTTTTGAGTTTAAATCTTCATGTCCAATGTGCATAACTTCAAAATGGTTTGGATTTAATTGATTAATTTCTACAGATTTAAATGTCCTATGCTCTAAATAATTGATTGTGAACCATCTTGGTGGTTTATTTCCCATTTTGATTGGCATTACAAAACAATTTCCTTCTGCATCTATTAAAACATTTTTATTTTCTTTACTAGTTTGTTTAAATAACATTCCATATTCATTTTCTAAAATCTTTAGTTGGATTAAATCTAATCCCCATCTAAAATATAAATAGATTATTTTATGCATTTATTTATTAATTTTTTTAATATATATATTTATATATTTATTTATCTTTTAAATATGTAAAAATTAAAGTTCATAGATGTGTGAAATTAAAATTAAAAAAAAAATAAAAATTAATAAAAAAATAATTTTTAAAAAATTTAAATTAATAAAATTTAAATAAAAATTAAATAAAATAAAAATTAAATTAAAATACTATTTAAATAATAGTTAATAAAAAATTAATTGATTTAAAAAAAAAATTACGAAAAAGTTTATTTCATAGTATTAATAAAATCTTCTTGGTAGTTTAAAGGCTTTACAATTGAATTTTTATATAATGTATTATTGCCTTGTAAAGCATGTTTAATTAATACACCGATTTTATTTGGAGTACCATCCCAATCGCTGATAATAGAAGGAAATGAACAATCTTTAGGATACCAAGCCCAGGCGGTCCAATGAATATTATGTAAATCGGCATAGTTTAAAAAATACTTTACGAATGTATCATTACATTTAAATTCTCCAAACTCTGTAGCAATAATTGGTGAATATGTACTTGCAAAACCTATTTGTTGATCCCAAAACATTGATTGCTTATCTTGAAAATCATATGGATGAGTACCAAGCATTATATTGTAACCATTGATCTTTTGATTTTTAATTCCAGAGAGATCATATGCCCACTTTACACCATTAACAATTACCACATTCTCTGCACCCATTGATCTTACTGCATCATAGAGCTGTTGCATTCCGACATATTTTTTACCATTGGAATGAGTACCTCCATGCATCCATATTTTATAGCTTAGTAATTGTGGCTCATTATATAGTTCAAATAATATACTGGTATCGTTTTTATATAGAAAAGCAACTTCTTTCCAAAATTGAATTGAGTTTTCATCAGCCATTACTTTTTGACTAGGGTAGGTTTGATTTAGATCTCCATCATCGCTCCAATGTAGATCCAATATTACATACATTCCCAATGATCTAATTTCATTGACACATTTTCTAACATTGCTTTTATACCATGGATAGAATCTTCTAGCTTTCTTTAACCAAAAATCTTGTGATAGAGAAAGACGAACAACATTTGCACCCCAGTCCTTCATCTTTTTAAAATCGTCAATACCCATGTTTTCTCCATTGCCACTCCATTCCAAAGATGCCCTTGCAATACCTCTTAATAAAACTTCTTTCCCATTTTTATTATTATACAATTTATTTCCATCTACATACAACCCATTTATGACACCAAACAAATAAAGGATAATTAAAAAAATAATTATTTTCATTTTAAATATTTTAATAAAACTATATTTTTAAACAAATAAATAAAAGTAATAATATATTATTTATTACATTAAAAAAATAGTAAAATTAAAACTCACACCCACACCCACACATTTTACAATTTATTAATTTTTTGAAATAAATTAATATAAGTATATTTATATTTTACTTCTTTATTATTTACAATCTAAATTAATCTATTGTTATTATAGTGTTTTGAGAATTTTTTAATTGAATTTCTTTTTCTCTTTTTTCTAATTCTTTTTGGATTGTTCCTTCAAACTCTGGATAGGCTTCTATTAAAGTCTTGTGAATGGTTTTGTCACAACCCGAGACTGGGCACTTTGTGCTACCAGATAGACCAAATGTACTAAAAATTGCTTTTTTACTATATACATGACCACAGATTATTGATTTACAAGGTTCTGATATTATACCTAGTGTTATAGGGCAATTAATATCTATAATTTGTTTTAAAAAAACTAAATCTTGTTCTTTCTTTGATTTTTTTTTTCTTTCTTTAGTTGGGGTAGTTGTTGTTGTTGTGGTTGTGGTGGTGGTGGTGATTAAATTGGTGTTTTTTGTTAAATCTGGCGAAAGTTGATTACCCTCCTCTGATGGAATTAATTCATCCGAAAATTGATATTTTCTTTTAATACTATTAATATTATTATCATTATTACTACTACTATTATTATTATTAACATCATTATTATTATCTTTTGGATTATTATCTATATTATTATCATTTTTACTATTATTATCTTGTTCACTATCATCCGTATCTTGTTGATCCATACTATTTTTTAATTGATTATATTTTTTATATATATCACTGTATTGATTTGTAAGTTCTTGTTTTTCTTTTTCATTCTTTTCATTATTTTCATTTAATTGTATAATTTGGCTAATATATGTTACATTTGTTTGTTCGATGAATTGTAATTCATTCTTATCACGCATTGATTGAGTTACCATTTGATCATAACGGGACTTTAATAAAATCAACTCTTCTTGAGCAATAGCTTTTTGTTTCCTTTCTAATTCGAGTCTATCGTCTTTTCTCTTATTTATCTTTTTAATTTGATCCTTTAAAACCTTGATTTCATGGTGAAGATTTTGATTAATTATATTTAAATTTTCAATCTCCTTTTGTTTAGTTTCGATTTCCTTTTGTTTTTTTTCTATATTATCTTTTTGTTCTGTATTGTTTAAAGTTGGTTTTGACGATTCTATTAAATTTTTATAATCATGTAATTGTTTATTTTCTATTGAAATATCATTAACTTTTTTTAACAGGAGCCCAATAAAATTTTTATTTTCTGTGATCTCTTTTAAAAGTCTTGAATTTAGTGATAAAATTTCTCTTTGGTAATCTTGCTTAGGCTCTAATGCATTGTTTGTTTGATATGATTCGTTTGATTTAAAATTATTTATTTGAGCGGTGTTGGTGGTATTAACATTATTATTGTTTTGTAAATAATTATTTATATTGTTATTTAAATTATTATCTAAACAATAGTTTACATCCATACTTGGCTATGAATTTTATTCGCAATATATAACTCTATTTTAAAAATAATAAAAAAAAAAAAAAAAATTAAAAAAATAAAATAAAAAAAAAAATAAAAAAAAAATTTTAAAATTTAAAATTTAAAATTATTTTAAAAGTTGGTTTATTTATAAATAATTATTTTATTTGTTAATTTAAAATGTTTATTAGTTAATTTTAATTAAAAAATAAAAATAAAAAAAAAAATGGAAATAAATTTGAAAAAATAATATAATTTTTAAATTTTTTTTTTTTTTCATTTGATTAAAAAAATTTCTTATGACATCAAATAAAAAAATAAAATTAGATGAAGAAGTAAAAAATAGTAATACTAATAGTAATACTAATACTATTAATAATTATGATGAAAACTATAGACATAAAATAAATAGAGATACTACAATTTTATTTTTTAAAATTTTTAGAAATATGATTTTAAAAAGAAAAATATTCTTTTATGCCAGATTATATAATAAATCATTAATAGACATTAAAGTTGATGATAATAATATTGTCTTATATGGAGAATTTTCAAAGTCAATAGATATTCATAAAATCAAAGCAGGTTTTTTAAATAAAGAATTATATCCAACATTTATATTATCACTCCCAAAGGATTTAGAAAAATTAGATCTTTGCAGCTTATCAACTATCGACGAAAAAGTTATTGAAGATAATCAACCAAATTTTTATCCAGAGTTAAAAGAGAATGAACTTCCACCAAATTTAAGAGAATTATCTCTGCCCTACTACAAATATAATATCAAAAATAACATTTTACCAAATAGTTTAATCAAATTAAATTTAACACAATTTAATCAAAAAATTACCAAAGGTCTTTTCCCGCCATTGCTGGAGGTATTAATAATCCCAAGTTACACACAATTTATTGAACCAAGGGCCTTACCAGAAACATTGACTGAACTAGTGGTGGGTGGATACAATTACCAGTTTGATACAGTGACCTATGGATCAATACCCAGCAAAGTAAAGATACTCAAATTTCTTAATGGTATTTCATGTGATTCCATTTTAAGAGGTCTCTCAACAAAGTTAAATATAGCCTTGATGAGCCAATCAACACAGGATACATGTGAATCAATATTTCCGATACTCTTAAAAGATTTATATATTGGCGCCAAATTTCCATTTGATAAAATACCACCCAACGGTTTCTTTTCTAAAAAGATAAAAAAGCTTAAACTATTCACAAATAACACACCATTAAAAAAACTCGACTGGTTACCATCCTTGGAGGAGTTAGAATCACTATCATGTTCAATCTATTCATTAACAGTTATAAATCAAAACACCTTACCTCAGTTACTTAAATCTATAGATTTCAATGTCGAATCACCGGCCCCAAATAAAGAAACTGCCAAAAAATTCTTATCATTTTTACCAAATAGTATTACAGACTTAATCATAAATGGAAATATTAATTTCTCATCAGATTCAAATATATATCCAAATAGTTTAAATAAATTATCATTGGAAAATAACAGTCATCCAATACATGCCGAATCATCAAAAAGTTTAAAAACTTTTAGAACCATATCGTGCATTGGCGATATAAGTTTACCACCCAACTCAACTCAATATATAATTTCCTTCAACCAATTAGAAACAAGTAAATTTTATGAAAACAGTTTTATTTTAAAAATTCCACTTTTTATAGAATCACTAGAAGTCGATTTGCAAAGCCAAGATTATGGAAATCCGTTTAACGATAGGGTCAAAAGGTTTTATAACTCATTAAAAACATTAAAATTTAGCAAAAGCAGTTTTGATCAGATTTTATTTAAAAAATTTAAGAAATTAGAAGTGTTAGATATAGGAGGGTTTACTTTTTGGAACGAGAGCATTCAACTTCCCAATAGCCTAAAGGTTTTAGTTCTTCGCTACAATTTAACGTGCAGAGATTTGATACTACCACCCAATTTAGTAGCTTTAAAAATTAAACTTTCATCAATCCATAAATTACCAGTTTGTCCGCCATCACTAACAATATTAGATTTACAATCATATGGACCTATTGACATATCAAAACTACCACAAACTATTAAAACCCTAATTATCAGCGGTCCACCCCCAACTATAAATATCGGTACTATTCCACCAACAGTAGACCAAATTCTAATAGACTCAACTTTTTTTTTGGAATATTTAAATAACAATCAACATCTAAATTATCATATATATAAAAAATTAATAATACCCATAAATAATAATTTTGATTCATTATTTATTAATTCTTATAATAATATAAATAAATTGTAAAATCTGATCAGTTTTTTTAAATGAATTCGCTAATGATAATTGGTGAAAACTGAGAATAACGATAATTTTTTTTTATTATCTCGTGCCACAAAAGTTTTTTCTTAAAATTCAAAAAAAATTCGAAAAACCCCAAAAATTAGGAATTTTTTAAAATTTTTAATTATGATATCTTCTAAAAATTTTTATTTTATTGTTAAAAAAATTATTTTCTTTCATTTTATCATTTCTTTAATAAACCACGTATAAAAAACAAATAATGAGTAACAAAAAGATTAAATTAGAAGCAAATATAGATATTAATAATAATGAAAAAGACAATAATATAATAGATAATAAACATCAACTAAAACATAAACCAGATAACACAATTTTATTTTTTAAGGTTTTTAGAAATATATTTTTAAAAAATAAGATTATAGGTTTTATCTCATTCAAAGCAAAACTCTATGTTACACAAAATAATTTACAAATTTTAAAAGATTATAATCATTACAATCATAACATTTATTTTGAAAGAATAAAATGCAAACTTTTAGAAACTGAATATAATCATACATCAGAATTATTTGACAGGGTTCTTTTAACAATTTCAAAATACAGTTTAGCAAGTTTAAAAATAATTAAGCAATATGAAGAAAAGTTTCAAGAATGGGGAATTGGTTATTTATATGAATCTCGATGTTCAAACTATTATAGAGAATTAAAACCAAATGAACTTCCTTCAAGTTTAACTAAAATATCTCTTCCATGGTACGACTACCCTATAGTTGACCCAAATATCTTTCCAAAAGATTTAAAAATACTAAATTTTAAAAATTATAATCATCCTTTAACACAAAACTCATTACCACCTTGTTTAGAATCATTATGTATTCCATCATTCAAATATAGAATTGAACCTTTCACATTGCCTCAAACACTAACAGATCTAACCATTAATGGATATAATGAAGAGTTTGAAACAATAACATATGGATCTTTTCCAAATAAAATCAAAAAACTCAAACTAGTTTCAGGAATTTCGGGTGTCTCTATATTTGAAAAAGCAAATACATATTCATTTGATCCAATTTATGGCCAATTTGAAGAAATCAAACTTTTCCCATCATCCCTTACAGATCTGTATATTGGCCCTAGATTTCATTATCATTTGATATACAAAGGATTTTTTCCAAACTCAATTACAAAACTAGAAATAAACAGTGGATTTCCTTTAACACCATCATCCGATATGAACTGGCTACCAGAGTGTTTAGAGTCGTTAATACTGGTTATTAATTCAATTAGTATTATTAAGGAAAATACTTTTCCCTCAACATTAAAATCTTTAAAAGTAACACTGACACAACCTTCCCCTCATCAATATGAAACTGAAAGGTTCATCTCATTTATCCCAGATAGTGTCACAAATTTATGTATTAACGGTTCTTTAAATCTTTCATCATACAACATTAAATATCCAAGTAATCTTAAAGAGATCAACATTAAAAAAAATGTTTTCAACACCAATCTTTTGGCATCATCTACCTTAAAGAAAGTTAAAATAACAAATTCACATCCATCTCCATTGTTACCTTCTAACGCAACTGAATTAGTCATTGAAAACCAACAAGAAATAGCCATACCATCTCACATCAGTAAAGTTGTTTTTAAAAATCACGTTAAAAACCCTTTAGAGGCTTTAAAAACATGTTCACAATCATTAAGAGAGCTTCAAGTGGGTCGCCTAAGATGTAGAATTATGGATATTTACAATAAAACCAATACTTTAATAATAGAATTTCCAAACTTGGAGATTCTAAGTGTCTCGAATGTATATCAAGGAATATCTAGAAGCTACCAATTTCCACCAAGTTCTTTATTACAAAACAGCTTAAGAGCACTATCAATTTCCAAAACTACACCTAAATCATTGCCCATTACAATCACACCATCCAATTTAATTGCTTTAAATTATATAATATTGTCGAACTTTCAAATCCCAATCTATCCACCATGTCTAATTATCTTGGGTTTAAAAACAGATATAGCTATTACAAACTCAACACTACCCCAATTTATTAAAATTCTAATCATCATGGGTCCACCTCCAACTATTAATATAGATCCAATTCCACCAACACTAGAGCAAATTCTAATAGACTCCCAATACTATTTAGAGTACCAAAAGAACAATCCGCACCATTCAAATAATCCAAATTTAAAAACTTTAATTAAACCTGTATATGATTATAAATCAATATTTTTTAGAGTATATAATAAATATAAATAAAATTGATTGTTATAGTTTTTTAATTTTTTTTTTATTTTAATTTATTTGTTTTTTTTTTTAGTTTAAAAATGAAAGTGCAACTTGTTTTTCTTCTTCTAATTCTTTTGTTGTTAATTCAAGTTTAGCTTGAATGAATGGACTGATTTTAAGATCTTGAACAATTGACCATTGACCTTGTCTGCATGTAACTGGGAAAGAGAAAATTAAACCTTTTGGAATATTGTATGAACCATCTGAATAAACAGCCATTGAAACAACTTCACCATCACGGGTACCTAATAACCAATCTCTCATATGACCAACAATAGCATTAGCAGCTGATGCAGCTGATGAAAGTTTTCTAGCGGCAATAACTGCAGCACCTCTATTTTGAACTAATGGAATAAATTGTTCATTTAACCATTTTTCATCCTCAACTGCTGATTTAATTGGTGAAACTAAATCTCTTTGTGGATAATTTGAAATATAACCGTGATTAACATCTGGTACTCTAATAATTTTGAAAAATAAATTATATTAATATTATTGGTGAATAAAAAAGGAATATGTAGTAATAATAATTTATGAATAACTTACTGAGTTAATGAATGATTACCCCAAATAATAACATTATTTACATTTTCGACACTAACACCAACCTTTTCAGAAATCATTGATTGAGCACGATTTTGATCTAATCTAGTAAGTGCAGAGAAATTTGCAGTTGGTAAATCTGAAGCTTTGGTTAAAGCAGTAAGTGCGTTAGTATTGGCTGGGTTACCAACAACTAAAACTTTAACATCTCTTGAAGCATATTTATTGAGTGCTTCACCTTGTTCTTTGAAAATTGAAACATTAACCTTTAATAAATCTTTTCTTTGCATACCTGGACCACGTGGGAAAGCACCAACTAAAATGGCAACATTGATGTGAAGGAAAGCAGTTTGTACATCGGTTGTAGCAACAACACTGTCTAATAATGGGTAAGATGAATCTTGTAATTCCATAACAACACCTTTTAATGCATCTGCCATTTTTGGAATATCTAAAAGATGAAGAATAATTTTTTGATGTGGACCAAACATTTGACCACTTGCGATCATAAACATTAATGAATATGCAATTTGACCTGCAGCACCAGTTACTAAAACTCTAATTGGTTTGGATGGTGCACCTGGTACAACATTAATTAATGGCCATGCCTTTGATGGATCTAATCTACTTTTACATTTACCACTTCTACCTGCGCCAATTGGACATCCTTTTGAATGTGGATTCATTTGTGGTGCTCCACCTCTAAATGGACATTGACCTGATAATTGACCTGAAATATTATTAATTCTTAATAATGCTTGTTCCATAATTATTATTTATATATTTAACCAAAAATAAAAAATATAAAAATATAAAATTTAATTAATTTATAAAAAAATGAAAATAAAAAAAAAAAAAATTTATATGTTATAAAAAAAAATTAAAAAATTAAAAAAAAATAAAAAAAAAAAAATAAAATAAAAAAATTAATTTATTTAAATTTCTTTATTATCGCAAGCGACACAAATGTCTTAATTTGGAAAGGTCAATGAGCATACGATCATTTTTGAAATTACATATTATATTTTTTTAAAAATTTATTGATTAATTTTTCTCTTTTTTACAAAAATCTCTAGATTTGATTATAATTATTTTATTATTATTTATAAAAAAAAAAACATATGAATAAAAAAGTATTAATGAATTGTTTAATTTTCACTATTAATTATAATTGTTATTTTATCTATTATCTATACTATTATTATCTAAACACTCTGTGTTTCTGAATCTATATCATTATTTATTATTCTTGATCTTGTTCTTCTTCTTGATCTTCTTCTTGATCTTCTTCTTGATCTTGATCTTGATCTTGTTCTTGATCTTGATCTTGTTCTTGATCTTGTTCTTGATTCTTTTGTTGTGTATCTTCTTGTTGGGGTGGTTGTGAAATCATTAATTTATATTGCTCGTATTCTTCTTTAAATGACTCTGAGATATGTGATTCTAATTCACTTTTAAAATTCTATTTAAAAAGAAAAAAGAAAATTAGATTTTAAAACAATTTCAAAACAATTCGGACATTAATTTTATATACATACTTTAATTGATTCTATTTTTCCTTTGGTTTTTTCATTGGCGGCTAAACAATTTTGAAGAGTTTCTTTTACATATAAATCAGGGTTTTTACTTTGGTCTATAACTCTAAATATTTCCAAAGGTATTTCCACATCATTAAATAGATTTCTATTACTTTCAATTTTTTCATATAAATTTATAATTTTATTTCTAAAAAAAAAAAAAAGATTAGTTTGTAACCCTAATTTAATTTTATATGGTTAAATAATATAGTATAATTACAATTTATCAAATAATAATTGCTGGCTTTGTGATTGAAATTCCTCAACAACTATTATAGTTCTTCTTAATTCTTCAACCAATTCCTCTACAGTTTGTAATAATGGTAAATGCTCCTGTTTTTTATTATTAATTTGATCTATTTCTTGCTGTTCATTATGTTGTTGTTGTTGTTGTTGCTGTTGCTGTTCTTGTTCATCCATCTTTGTAACTTTTAATTTAAAAAAAAAAAAAAAAATGAAATATTTTAAAAAAAATTATTAAAAATTATTTTTAAAATTTAAAAAAAAAAAAAAATATTGTTTTTAGTTTTTTTCAAAATTTTTTTTTTAACATCATTATTAACTTTTATATAAACATTCTCTTCATTTTATAATAATCGTTATTTCTTCCACTACATACTAAATACATATTATACATCACACCTAAACACTCATTATATATATAATATTTTTAATATCATTTATGAAATTTTATTCATTATTATGGTTTACCGTTAAAAAATAAATTAAATTAATTCAAGAAATGAAAAAATATGAAGAAGGTGAAGTTTATTCAGCTTATTACGGTCAGTGGGGATATTGGCCGGTTAGGGTATGCTTCAATGAATACTATATATATTTATAATTATACCAATATATATAAATATTAATATTTTTTAATATATATAGATTGCTAGACCCAACGAAGTTTGCGAATCTACTTTAAAATCAGCAAAAAAGGACACTATACATATATATTTCTTTGGATCGCGTGATTAGTAAGAAAATTTATTAAATTTATTAAATTAATTTAACCACTAAAAAATATATATATTAATTTTAATTTTTTAAAAAAAAAGCGGTTTTGTGAAAGAACAACATTTTAAAACATATGACCCTAATGATTTATTTAAACAAAAATTTAAAGCAATGGAATTAAAAAAATTAAAAAAAGCGGTCGAAGAGGCTAATGATTGGATCAAAAGTGAAGAAAAAATATATCCAGTATATGTACCAACAAATGGTCGTATTAATAATAATTATTCAATATCATCATCATCTTCCTCTTCATCAAGTTCATCAAGCTCACCAATAATGATGTCACCCAGAGTTAAAAAAGAAAGAATAGAGCCAAATAGTAACAATAATATTAACAACAACAATAGTTCGACACAAACTCAATCTCAAAGTTTAACACAGGCAACAGCTTCAAAAATTAAAGGAACAAGAGGTAAAAAAGCATTATCATCACTTTATACAAGCTTTTTTAAAGAAAATAATGTAGCCTCAAATGGTGGAAGATATACCAGACAGTCTTCAATGATAGCAAATCCAATTAATAAATTAGAACATACATTATCAATATTACAAGATAAAACATACTCTAATGTAAAACTTGAAAAAGAAGAAAAAACTGATCAAACAAACTCGGTTACAACTAACGATAGTAAAATTAGCGATTCAAATACATCAAATAATACAACAACATCAAACTGTACAAGCAATAATAATAATAATACCACTATATCGAGTAGTACAACAACAATTACAACAACAAATATATCATCTAGTACTCCTAATAAATTAAATAAACAACCACCACAACCACAACCACATCAACAATATATTTATAACAAAGATGATGAAGAAAATGATTCAACATTTATTGATGAGAATAACAACCCATCAACTCAAGAAAATGAGTTTAATAATTTTGCAACCCAAGCAATTACACCAATAAGACCAAAATCAAAATCATCATTAAGTAATATCTCCAATAGTAACGCTAATAATAGTAATAATAATAATAATAACAATAATAACAATTTTAACCGTAGTGGAAATAATATAAATAATATAAATAATATAAACCAAACATCACCAATAAAGACTAATAAGACTTATAAAAAATTGGAATTTCCAAATGTACCCTATTCACCATCACCAATAAAATTTAAAAAAAGTATAGCCTCACCAAATAACAATAGTGGTTTTAGCTATATGTTACATAATGAATCAAATTTTAAATCTAGCCCACCACATAAGAAAGATTCAATAACTAATCAAAACAATAGTAACAACCAAAATAGTGATGGCAACAATAATAATAATAATAATAATAATAATAATAATAATAATAATAATAATAATAATAATAATAATAATGAAAATGCACTTGATCTAATTAGTAAATTTGAAAGTTCAAATTGGGATGCTGTTGGTTCACCAAAAAGGTCAAATGAAATCCCATTATCACCACTGCAATCAAACCAAAAGAAACAACAACTACACCATAATCAACAAAACTATAATAATAACTTAAATGCTACAATTATAGAAAGTGAAATTCTACATTTATTAGCTCTAAAGCCATATACTTTACAAGATTTAAAGTCTAAAGTCCAACATATAATTACCGATCAGAACGAATCATCATTTCAACGTATTTTAGAAACCATTTCATATAAAGATGACTCTAATCATTATATTATAAATAATGATAAGCTAAATATGATAAATGAAAGTTGGTACAAGTAAGTATACAATATAAAATTAATTTTATAAATTAATATTAATTTTTTATTGAAAAAATATAGAACCGAATCAGAAAAAAAAGAATTAAGAAAAAGAAAATTAGAAATGACTGAAGATTTAAATACATCCATAAATCAAAACCACAATAACAATAGAAATATTAGTAATAACATTTCAACACCAAATCATCTATCAAAAAGACAACCACAATCACCACAAAAATCAATAAAGAAAAAGAAACTATCAAATGAAAATGGATCACCATTAAAAAAATCATTACTACAATCACCTTTTAGAAAACCATTGCAATTTAATATAGAAAGTAGTAGCGGCAGTAGTGGGAACAATAATAGTAGCTACAACAGCAGTAAAAATCAAGAACAAGATATACAACCTTCATTAGAAAAAACTGAGATTTATGATAGTGCCAATTCATATGAAGATGACGAAGATTTAATTGAATCCACACAACCAGCCTTTATAGCCAATACCAACACCAACTTGAATACCACCAACCAAAATACTAGTTATCAAAACAATATTTATTTAATTACTAACAATCAATTAAACTCACCCTCACCAAATAAATTTTCACCATCATCTACAATTCCACCAACCCAAGTTTTCATGTCACCATCCAGATTTAATAATGAAAATGAAAATAATAACTCACCTTTAACTGTATCTAAATTAAACAAATCTGTAAATAATAATAATAATAATCTTTACGATATTGATGAAGAATTTCCTTCAACAATTCCTTACGAACCAGTCCCTTATAAACCAAATCAAATTATGAACCAAGAAAACAATAATATTATAATTAGTAACAACCAATCAAAGACAAATAATTCAAAAAGCATTTACAACCATAACAACTCAAATAATACAACATCATCTGTTTCAATTAATATTAGTAATTTTAATGTTATTGAGCCTAAAGTTCTAGAACTTGTTAAAAATATTACAAAAGATTTAAAGAAAGAAATAATTAATGAGCTAAAACAAGATTCAACAAATGCAACTAAATCAGATCATTCATCATCAAATCAATTCAAAAATGAAATTGAACAAATCAGGAATGACTTAAAACAAGAAATAAAACAAGAAATAATACAAGAACTAAAACAAGAGCTAAAAGAAGAGTTTATGAAAGAGATGAAGAGTAACCAAATTCAAATAATGCTCAATTCAATTAATATTCTAAAAAACTCTTTCGAAAATCAATTAAATAACAATTGACAAAAAAAATATCATTATAATAAATTTTATTTTTTTGTGTATAATTTACTTTTAAAAAACTGTAAATAAATTTGTTTTTTTTTTTTATAAAATGATTTTATTTAAAAGAAATTTAAACTTAGGAAGAATTATCTTCATTCATTTGATCTATTTTAGAACATAACTCTAAATGAATGTGATATTCAATCTCTAATATGGCTACCTTACAGTATGAGCATATCCTAGTTTTGTTATTATTATTATTATTATTATTATTATTATTATTATTATTATTATTATTATTATTATTTTTGTTATTATTATTAAAAAATGAATTTATTAAAATTTTTAATTTTTCTTTTTCATTATTATCCACTATACCCAAATCATTATAATCTGATTCTTCTAAAGAAAGAAATGCAATTCCATTAATTTTTTGAGCTTGGAAACCGTAAACTACCGAACTCGAAAATTTTTGATCATTTAAAAGCTGTTTTATTTGGCTGCAATCTAAATTTAAAATTTCGCTTGATACTATTGAATCTGTTAATTTAATAAAATTATTTGGATATAAAACTAAATTCATTTGGTGTATAAAATTTTTTTTAGAACCTAAAGTTTTTAAATATTTGTTATATTGATTTAATTTGTAAATATTAAGTAATTGTTCACCGTTGATATCTTTGAAGTTTGGGACAAATTCTTTTAAAATTGAATTTTTCTCTAACCAATTGCAAACATCTTTTTTAGTCCAACTTTTAATATCCACAATTCTATTAATTTCGTGGGGAATTGACTCTAAATAGACCCTATTTTTTTCAATTTTTGGTATCTTGTTGCTTATGAGTTGGAGTAAATGGAGCTTTGAACACATACCTTCATCTGGAACTAAAACTGAATCACCATTTCTTAGATATCTTGCTAAATAGAGCCAACACTTAAAATTACCTTTATTTAAATATAATGCAAACAGTAACATTTCTTTACCCTCTTCATAGTCTGTGATCTTATAGTTTGGAATACCAGCCATTTGTAATTCTAAATCTATTTGTTCTTTTGATTTACCCAAATCTTCTTTTAACTCTTTACCCAAAACTTTTTTGATTAATCTTTTAGATTTTGTTTGTTCATATGATGTTGTTGGTCTTGGTTGTTTATTATTACCATTGTTGGAATGTGGTTTATCGGTATTTTCTCCACTCTCTGAGACAGTGATTGAAGATATAGAGAAGCTTTCAGACAAATCGCTATGGGATTCTTCTTCGATTAAGGCTACCTTTTCAGTATCAAATATTGAATCTTTGCTGCCTTTGTTTGTTAAAACATCCCATAAATAATTGACAAGATCATGCAATGGACCATGTGTACAGAATAATGGTTCTGCAATATACATATCTACTATTAATGTAATGATTTCGACTATATAAACTTTTATTGAATCTTCTTTTTCTGTGTTAAGATTGAATATTTCTTCTTCTTCTTTTTCTTTCTCTTCTTTCTCTTTTTTTTCTATAGCTTCTTTATCATCATCTTCTTCCTCTTCTCTTTGGTACAGTCGATTAATTTTATATCCTTCTTTTTCAATTTTAGAATATTTGATATTTATCATATATTTTAAGTACTTAATGAAATCGTTAAATTCGTGACGGTGATTCTCTATTGAATGTTTTTCAATTTTTTCAATAAAATATTTAAGTATTACTGTTTTTTTTTCTGATGGATTTGGTTTTGCGCTTATAGCTAATGAAACATCCCGTAATATATCTTTGTTTATGTCGTCTGATTTAAACATACATAATGGTTTGAAGTAATTGATATTTGATAAACACTCTGAGAAAGTTTTTTGACTTTCACAGAAATCAAAAAATGAAACGATTCTATGCATTTGACTAAAAATATTTTTAACTGTTGATACATTGTGTCCTAAAAATTGTTTTACAAGAGTTGACTCGGGTTTAATGATCATATATTGGTCAGATTCTGATCTTCTTTGATAGTACCATACAAAAACTTGGTGTAAATAAATGAATAATGTTGAAATCGAATCGAATAATAAATTGATTGTATTTGGAAATTCGATGAATTCTTCTGCTGGATCAGCTTTGGTCTCTGACGTTTTTTTAATAGATTCTAAAAGTGTTAAAGAATCTGGTTTTGATTTTGAAAGTAGGTCGTTTGGTAATTGTGATAACTCTATTGATTCTAATATATAACGAATATAATAACTGTATTGGGTTTCATTTTTGGAAACCTTGTCACTATCTAAAATCTTCCATAATGATTCTACTAAATTTTTTGAATATTTGATATCATCCCTATTTAAAATGAGCTTTTCAGTTTGATTCTCTTCTCTATCAATGTTATCTTCTAGAATTCTTAATTTGGCATCACCTATAACACTTTGGATTCTTTGAGACCAGTTGTCAAACTCTTTGATATGGGTGGAAAAAAGTTCATAATCAATTTTGGTCTTTAAAAATAGATTTTGATGGAATTGTTGGAGTTCATCTATAACATTCAAAATATGATTAAGCTCTCTGAAAACTGAAATGGTGTAAGCTGAGGTTTGATATTTGAACATATAATTAAAGACCTGTAAAACATAACTATAATTTTTGACAACAGAAGTTCTTTTCTCGACTTCTTTTTGTAAAATTACATCTTTACCTGTAATAAAAACGCCAGCTTTTGCTAAAAGATTATTAAAAACCCGATAGTGAGGATCTGCTAACTTGTACTTTGGAATTTTGATACTATTTATAAATTGATCTAATTTTACTCTTTCTTTTTGATTCTCCTTGAAATACCTTTCTATATTGACGATTAATGAAGCCTTGAATTTTAAAATTTTAAAAAAATCCTCAAACTTTGGCTCTAGTGAGATTTTAAGTATTTCAATAAACTCTTCTGCTTCAATTCCTGTGATATTGATTCTGTTTAATAAATAAACTTTACCTAAGTTTTGGAGGGTACTTTCGTGTGGTTTGTCTAAATTTTTAATATTATGGGTTAAAAAAACCAACAATGAACGAAATGATTTTGGAGTTAAAGCTTCACCAATTTCTCTTTGATATTCCTTTGTGAATTGTTTTAATGAAAATACATTTTGATTTTCGTCACTAATAATCTTTGCAATTGAAAGTTTGACTATTTCCATGTGTTGATTTTTTTGATAATATTGAATTAGATTAAAAAAAATGTTATAATCTTCACTAAACAATTGGCACAATAATTTTACTCTTTCATCAATGTAACCTTGAAACTTTGGAATTGATAATAAAAGACATTTAAATTGCAATGATCCTTCCTCAAATAGTTTGGCTGATATTGCATTAGAAGAAAGTTCTTCTTCATATCCTATGATATCGATTTTATATAAAATATCACTGATATAATCTATAATAAATCTGAAATTTTCAAAATTTTGAGATTCATTTAATTGAAGATTATTCTGAATAAAATACTTTAATTACATATTATTATTATTATTATTATTATTAATATTATTATTATTAGTATAATTAGTTTATTAATTTTTTTTAAAATTTTAAATTTTTACTTACATGGCAATTTTCCAAAAAACTATTAAAAAAAACTTGGTAATTTGGGTTTTTTGAGATTATAGCTTCAAGATTTATATGAAATCTTAAGTAGAATTGCCATGAAAACTGTGAAAACATTTTTGGGATTAGTTGTTTGGTTTCGTTGAAATTCTCTAGTATTATAAACCAAAAGAATGTAAACTGATTATTGTTGTCACTGATAAATGGCATCTCTTTAATTGTATTTAGGTAATCCTCACTTAATTTAAATGGTAAATATTCTGAAACCACATTAAATGCCCAACCAAAATTAAAAGCTTTAATATCAGCAGTTCTATATTTAATAATTATAAAAATTAATTTATTAGTTTAATATTAATGTATTGTAATGGAGATATAGTATTATTCGATCTATTATGTCAATTATAATATTGATGATGAACTTACATTGAATAGACTTTAATTAATAATAACAATAAAAACTTTTTATATTTTAATTCGTATTTTTTGTATAATGAATCTGGAAATGGGAATTCTTTAAAAAAAGCAATCACTTTATTGTCATTGTTTAATTCTTTAAATTCATTTAACTTATCAATATATATATTTTCTGGATTGTCTTCATCCGGTCTTGAAACTCTTTGCACAGTAATGTAATAAAACTCACAGAAATCCCTGAAATTCCTATCTTTCACTGGGTTATACTCTTCACCATCCAAAAGAGTCTTGACAAAATCTTTGGGAATTAAACCCTTAATTATTTTAACATTTTGTTCAATGCCATTCTTCTTTAAAGTAATGATAGTTGATCCGGGTACATCTTCAATACCAATAATCCTTCCTTTAAATTTTAACCATCCCTCTTGTTGATGAGGTTTTATATATATTGTTGATCCTTCCCTAAAATTAATAAAAAAAAAAAGAAATAAGTAAATGATTCATCATAACTTATTATTTATTTTATAATATCATACGGTAGAGGAATTGAAACAGATGGGTCTTGGGGGCAATATTCATCCAAAACTATGGCTTTAGAATACATTTTAATTTTGATTAATTCTCATGTGAATCAGAAAAATTAAAAAAAAACATTATGGTTAAAAAAAAATTTTGATAAAAAAAAAAATTTTGAAAATTTAAAAATTTTAAAAAAATTAAAAAAAAAAAAAAAAAAAAAATTTAAGTTTTTAATTACTTATTTTCTTTTTTATATTTTTATATAATTAAAATGTTTTCAAACGAAACTCTATCTGTAAACCAGAGAAGTACTTATAAAAACAAAAAAATAAAAAATAAAATTTTAAATTATATACAATTTAATTTTATTGTTGGGTAAATCAACATCATACCCATTTGTGATTTTATTGAATTTTTGGTATTTTAGTTATTTGAAATATATTCAATAAATATATAGAAGCCACATATTAAATTTATATTTACATTTATATTTATATTGATAGTTAATATAAATTAATTAATTTTTTTAATTTTTTTTTTTTTTTAATTTTTTTTTTTTTTTAAATTTATTTTTTTTATTTTTTTTTTAAAATTATTTTAATATTTTTTTTTATATTTTATTTTATTTTTCAATATTGTTTTTTTAATTTTTTTTTATTGATTAGTTTTTCAAAGATATTAATTAAATTAATTAATAGATAAAAAAAATAGAAATAAAAATGGCCAGTAGTAGCCATCAAATAAAACAAATGGATGTAATTCTTGCAGTCCAAGAATACATTAATAAAATGTTATCAAATATTCAAGGAATGAAAGTTTTGGTTTTAGATAAAGAAACGGTAATTTCATTGATATTCCATACTATTATTAATATACATGTTTAAAACAATTACTTACAATATTTTATTTTAGGCTGGTATTGTCAGTATGGTATACACACAATCTAAAATTCTTCAAAAAGAAGTTTTTCTCTTTGAAAAAATAGAAAATGAAAAGGAAAAAATGTTACATATGAAGGGTGTCTATTTTTTAAGACCAACCGAAACAAATATCAATTACATCAAAGATGAATTAAAAGATCCAAAATATAACAAATATCATATCTGTAAATATTATAATACGATATTATTATTATTATTATCATTATTGTTACTAATTAAAATTTTATTACTACTATTTAGTTTTTACAAATACTATATCATCTATTGCTTTGGGAGAAATTGCAAAAGCAGATGAACAAGATGTTGTTTCAGAGGTTCAAGAATTTTTTGCAGATTTCTATGCAGCTAATCCAGATACATTCACATTAAATTTACCAGGTATGCTCACAAAAAGATCCCCATATTGGATGAATAATTCAAATAGACTTATCGATGGATTGTTTTCAAGTTTATTGGCATTAAAAAAGAAGCCATATATTCGTTATAGTGCCAATTCAGATACAACTCGTTATGTTGCCGAAAAAATTGCAGATAAAATGAATGAAAATCGTGATCTCTTTGAAATTAGAAGACAAAAAGGTGAATACGATTCCTTACTTTTAATCCTCGACCGTAAAGATGATCCAATCACCCCACTTCTTCATCAATGGACCTATCAATCTATGATTCACGAATTATTAACAATTAGCAACAATAGAGTTAGTTTAGCAAAAGCCCCAAATATCAAAGAAGATCTTAGAGAAGTTGTTTTATCTTTAGATCACGATGCTTTTTACAAAGATAATCTTTATAAGAACTTTGGTGATCTTGGTGCCTCAATTAAAGACTTGGTCGATCAATTACAAGAAAAAATGAATACAAATCAAAACATTCAAACTATTGGTAAGTTTTTGCTATTACACAAACTTTATTATTATTATTATTTTTATTATTATAAAAACTAACATCAAAACCTTTTTCATTTAATATAGATGATATGAAGAAATTTATTGAAGAATACCCAGATTTCCAAAAATTCTCAACTACAGTTTCAAAACATGTTGCATTGATGGATGAACTTTCTAGATTAATTTCAATTTCAAATCTAATGGATGTTTCTGAAATTCAACAAGAATTAGCATGCAATCATGATCATAATAATATTTATCAACACATTTTAGAATTTATTGAAAATCCAAAAATTTCAAATCAAGATAAATTAGTAATTGTACTTTTATATAGTATTAGATATGAAGATGGTAATGTTTGGGAATTAAAAGAAAGACTTTCAAGAATTGGTATTTCACCAAAAGATATTCAGGTAATAATATTTTTATAACTTTTTTAAAAATAAAAAAAATTATTTACTAATACAAATTTATTATTAGTTAATAGACGTATTAAAAATGTATGCAGGTAAAAATTCACGTGAAGGTGATTTATTGGGTACTAAAAATATCTTCTCATTTGCCAAGAGTGTTGTAAAACGTGGTTTACAAGGTGTTTCAAATATTTATACTCAACATAAACCATTGTTACATGATATTTTAGATAGCATTTTAAAAAACAAGTTAAGTCCATCCTATTTATCACTTTCAACCAACCCACCAAGAGATAGACCACAAGAAATTATCATTTTCATGGTTGGTGGTATCACTTATGAAGAAGCCTTAACCGTCTACACCTTTAACTCATTAAATGTCGGTGTTTGTCGTGTTATTTTAGGTGGTACCACAATTTTAAATTGTCCTCAATTTTTAGATGATCTTTCTGCTCTCCAACAATCAAATAGAAGATAAATAAAAATAATAAAAAAAACCATATAAAACTTTTAAATAAAAACACAAATTAAGTTCCAAATAATTTTTTATATTTATTTTTAATATCTTTGTTTATTTTTTAATATTTAGCAAAAGTAAAACTTACAAAATCATTTATTTGTGAGGTCTCTATTGAAAGTTAATATCAATTGTCTTACTTTTAAAAAACAAAGATATTAAAAGTAATAAACTGTTCGTGTGGTTTCAATCCATGTTTTAATTCCTGTAGTGATTGAAACAGTAACATTATCAATATTGTGATCATATTGGTCATTGTTGTAGAAGATGCTGTTAAATTTACTCTAAAACTATATTAATAAATCATTATAAAGATTCATATATAATTAAAATACTAGAGCAAGTCCGAACAAAGTACAATTATAATTTCTTGTGCAAAGACATTGTTGAGGAAAATTTCATCTGAAAGGGGATAATAAAATCATTGAGAGAAAAAAAATATTTAAAATACCTTTATTATTTACCAACATTATCTAAATCAAAAAAAATGTAAATATGTTCATATATATACATATACTTCTTCACATGCGCATTCTCATATTCATATAGATATACATGCACATGCACATACATATACATATTCACATGCGCATTTTCATATTCACATAGATTCACATGCACATAAACATACGCATTTACATGCACATGCATACACATGCAATACATGGGCATTGAAAAATCTGATACTCATACTCGTATTAGTACACATTTACATGCAAAATTCACACACAAATCCCATGCATATACACATTCATATCCACATGTACATACTCATGAATATAAGCATTTTATTTATATGTAATACACATGACCAATATAATAGTGCCATAAATATACTCATGCACACATATAGAATAGATGTGTATGGATGTGGATGTGGATATATATGTGGAGGATGTGGATTTGGATTTTGATGTGGATGTGGATGTGGATATATATGTGGATGTGGATGTGGATGTTTATGTATGTGTATGTGTAGGTGCATGTGCCTGTGCATGTTATATATATTCATGTTCATGTGTATGTGCGTGTATATGAATGTTAATATCCATGTACATGTGTATGTAAATTCATGTACATGTGTATATACATGTATGTATGTATATGTGCATGTCAATGTGTATGAATATGTACATGTGAATGTGCATGTGTATATGTATGAGTATGTGTATGTATATTTTCAGGAGCATGTATATGCGTATATGAATGTGAATGTCAATGTGTATGCATGTCCATATGCATGTATGTTAATGTGCATGTATATGCTCAAATGTTTTTGTATGTTTTTTTGGTTTAAAAGTATCCATTATCATTGTGATTCTATTTGAATATTCTGATTATGGTCAAACGAGATTTAAATATCTTTTATTTATTTAATTTTAAAGGTTTAATTTTAATATTTTTATAGTTTTATTAATTTTATTATTTTTCTTTTTCTCTTTTTTGAAGCCAAGAGGAATGATCGGAGGTGCTTTGGTAGATTGATCTGAGCTTCACTGTTAGTTGTATCATCTTTGGCTGGTTACGATGATCTATCTACATTGGTCATTGGTTTTATAAAGTTGTTCTGAGGGTTTGAATGACTTTGAGTTCTTGATCTATACTGATATCTTACATTTCATTGTAGTTATATTTCTCGTGTTATTAATTTCATTGGTGACATATTTCATCATAATATTTGTTGCCAAATTTCCTACAATTGGTTATTGAATATTTTTTAGTATTATTTCATTGATGTGTATGTGGTATTAGAAATTTATATAAATAAGTTTAAATTGGAAATAAAAAATATTTTAAATTAAGACTTGAATTGTTAAAAAATTTTAATTTATAAAGAATATAAACTATTATATTTATAAAATTTTAATTTATAAAGAATATAATAGTTTAAGGTTTTTATTATTTTTTAATTTAACAGAATTATTGCTGTTGTTATTATTATTGTTGTTTTGATGTTGACATTGATTTTTTACACTTATTTTGATGTGGTATGAAAACTAATTGTATTGGTTGTCTTTTCCATATTTTTTTTAGAATCATCCAATAGTTACACATATGTAATAAGGAGTAAAATAACTGGCCGTCCAAAATATACAATAATTTTCTAAAATCTTTCAACCTTTTTTCCTTTTCCAATAGTTATTTATCCGATTGTATTTGGCTTTATCTGTGTGACTATTCCAATTGCTTCAGCTGTTTTTTATCCCTAAACATTTTGGTGTTTAATCTGTGAGTTTCTATTGTGATGATGAAATTCTTTATTAAGTGGTTTTTTGATATTGTTTTCCTAAAAAGAAATAAATAAAAAAATTAAAACTTACCTATAATTTGATTTAATTCTTTTATATCATAGTGTTTAATTGAAAAGTTTAATAAATGATGGTTTTTCTAAATATAAGACTTAAAAAAAAAAAAATTAATAAAAAAAAAAAAAAAATCCAAATTTTTAATTTTTTAATTTTTTAATTTTTTAAAAAAAATTTGGGTAAAAAAATTCGCATTTTTTTTTAAAAAAATTTGGGGATTTTTAAGGGTTTTTTTTAAAAATTTTTATATGAGGCCGCATAGAAAAAAAAAACTTTGAATCAATATAACTTTTGATGGTTTGAGTAAGACGGTCTGATTCAGGTATCAGCAGATAGAGAATTGTTCCCTCTATCGTTTTTTATAAAAAAAATGGCAAAACCTCACCCTCCCTGGATGAGGAAACTTAGATAATGCCAGATACCCCCAATTAAGGAAATACCTGGCACTATCCAGTTTTTTAGCGGCTACTACGGACACGGACTCGACTACTGGTACATTTGATGGCTTTACATTAAATTTTTTTTTTTTTTTTTTTTTTATTATTATTTATTATTATTATTTATTATTATTATTATTATTATTGATTATTATTATTTATTATTATTATTGATTATTGATTATTATTATTTATTATTATTATTATTATTATTATTATTATTATTATTATTATTATTATTATTATTATTATTATTATTATTATTATTATTATTATTATTATTTATTATTAT